GGGAACCGAGTCGTTTTCCTGTGAACTCAGTGTACCATTGTCACAGAGCTGAAGGTCAGGATTCATTCATCTCTTTGCTCATTAAATGTATGTGGAGTTTATTTTATTTTATCTCTTTTTTTCTAAATTTATTTTTTTATTGTTGTTCAAGTACAGTCGTCTCCATTTTCCCTCCACTACTGCCCCCCGCCCCACCCACCCCCCATCTCCCACCCTCAATCCTGCCCTCCCTTGGCTTTGTCCCTGGGTCCTTTATACACGTTCCTTGACGACCCTTCCCCTTCTTTCTCTGGCTATCGCCCTCTGCCCCCGCTTCCAGTTACCGTCAGTTTGTCCTTTATTTCCGTGTCTCTGGTTATGTGTTGCTCGCTTGTTTGTTTTGTTGCTTAGGTTCCACTTACAGGTGAGATCATATGGTCTTTGTCTTTCGCCCCCTGGCTTATTTCGCTTAGCATAATGCTCTCCAGTTCCATCCATGCTCTCGCAAAGGGTAGGGGCTGCTTCTTTCTTTCTGTGGAGTGTTAGATGCAGACGAAGTGTGGTGACCCCGGAAACCGTTCAAAAGAAGTCCTGGGCTGAAAGACAGACATTTGTCACAATATGCGCTTGTTCCGTGTTATGTAGTCTCTGAATTGCAGGGGAAGGAAAGAACATTGTTCACTTTAGAAAGAAGACACCCTGTCTGGACTAAAATATAACACAACTCCCACCAAATATGAAAGCACACGTTCCCCTCTCTAGGAAATACGTGGACATAGACCTCTTCTGCGCTTCTCGCTTACGTCTAAGAGCGACACATCTATCTTGAGGGCTACTTTTACCTAAAGGAATTATTCTCACATGAATGACACTGTTTTTTTATCATTGGTTTCAGGATACACCAATTTAAACAATTTTTGCAAATTCTTTCTGTACTCATGTATGAGAAAGCCATCTGACAATATTGAAGACCAGTGATTTTAAAATACAATGCATTGGTGACTTGGCTTCTCTGTCAGTGTTTTATGTTTCTATATTTATGATGCACATGTAGCTCCAAGGCACTAATTCAGTGCCCCCTTATATGGATGGTCTTTTAGATGGAGGAAGGGGAAGTGTACTTCTGAGATTTAGAGTAAGTGACCAAAAACTTTCTCTTGCAAAAACACAAATAAATGTAGGCATTGAATAAGTTAGAAACTCTTTGAAGGTAAAGCTGTCTTCCATTCCACTAATATTGATGAATAGTATGGTTTTGAATATAACATCTTTATTTTCAATGATATCTCGAAGTTGCATTTCGCTCTAAGAACCATAATTTCATAGTAACTCGAGCCTTGTTCTTCAAAGAGTGCTTTGCCAGGATCACCAAAGCAGATGCACATCTTGTGTTAATGTCACAAATTTTGAAATTGAAACAGAGATGTCTAATGTGGAATGGGCGTGTGTCTGCACACCATGGGTACATGTTTTAGTGTCAAGGCTAAGGTAATGGAGAGTTCCATAGCCCAGGTTCAAATTCGATTTCCCATGAAGAAATGACCCACGACACGTTGAACAAAATGATAACATGTTTTCCAGGGATGCTTTCCATTCCAGTCCTATAATTGCCAACTTCTGTGTATCTGTTTTTATTTTTGTTATTTTATTTACTTATTATTGTTAGCTGTGCTATGGGTCCTTGTCCAAGGTACTTCATTTCTCCGGGATTCACTTTCCACATTGGAAAGGTGATCACCATTTTATTTATTTTACAATATTTATCAAGCAGCTACTGTGTTCCAGGAGCTTTCTAAGTCCTGAAAATACTTACAGGGACTAAGTCATCGAGTTTACATTCGGATGGGAGAAGACAGGCAACAGATTTGTGCAGTAGCTCTAGCGTTCTTAACTCTCAACCTGGCACACTACATAGCTTTGTTTATTTATCTTCCTGTCTAGGTTTCATTCTAAGCCCTCGTTCCTAGACACTTTTCCCACACGCTCCGATCTCTCCCTCCTTCCGTGCTGCTGTGAGGACCACGGAAGGCGGGTCTGGCACTTCAATATTCTGCAGGAAGCCATTGAGTTTTCCTGTTCTGTGTTATCACCCCATTGCTCTTCAGGCACCTGCATTCCCATCCAAGTGGCCTCTCTGGGTCCAGGGGCACCCTCTGCCACGTCTGTGTCACAGAAATAATTCTGCTCCTTACAAGCCCTGCTGAGATGCAGGAATCTCAGGGATCCCTCTGTAACAACAGCCCCCAGACATTCCACACATCAGTTTTGGCTGTGGGGTCCTGTTACCTCTGCCGGTCTCAGGTGTGCTCTGGTCTCCTGACATGCCAGGTGGTGTCACCTCGTCAAGGCTCCATCCGCCAGGGGAGCCCAGCGGGGCCTCTGTCTCGCAGGTGCAGAGAACCTCTGCCCTCTTCCATTCCCCTTTCCCCTCTCCCTGACCCTTCCTGAGGAAATTTTCTAGCCTAAGAGGAATCTTTGTCTCCCAAATTCTATTCCTTTCAAACATTTAGGTTATAGCCCCCATCCTTCCTGTTTCTATTTTCCTGCAGATTTCTTTCTAGTACTGAAGACTGCCTGGCCATGGGCCTAAACGCTGGTTGCTGTTCCAGTGCTGCTTGTTCCTTGGCGTATTCGGGTCACTCCCTGCTATTTCTGTGCCTTCAGCCCTCCAGCTGGGAGTGGAAGTAGTAGAGAGAGCCTCTGGGGGGGGAGGGGGGACTCACCACCCCCACCCTAGACTTGCCGCAAAGCGTTGGGCAGGCATCTCTCCCAGGGCCCTGTGGACCCCAGCTCTGTCGGCTCCCCATGCTCCTCTTTGTAGCCGGAAGATGCTCTTCTGGTCGGGGGGGTTGAGGGGGCAACCCCTTCTGCCTCCCACAGTGTTTCCCCATGTTAAGGTTATATCCCAGTCTGTTCCATTCCACCCAGTAGCCTGGGCACTAGGAAACCCGCCACAGACTCCGGCTATTTCCATTTCTCGTCTTTTCCCATCGCTCCTGGAGGTGATGCAATAAAGTAGCTGTTGGAGTTGAGAGGGGCCAGGCAGAGCAAGGACACAAAGGGGGACATTTCTGGAGGGAAAAACACACTGTAAATAGCATGTCATTTTTTTCTTTATGTAACCTCTCACGCAAGTAAACAAATGGACAAGAGAGTAGCTGATGGCAGTAAGCACTTTGGTGAGCGTGCTGGTGTGATGGGGAGGACAGGGGACAGGCCTCAGGGGAGCTTTGTCCCTGATGTCCCCCTGTCCAGCCTCACAGTCACCTTCTCCAAGAGGAGGGCCCTGCCTCCTCCCGAATGCCTTCCGTAGTGCCTTCCCATGGCACTGAGCACGTTGCCAAGGGCCGCTGAGCCTCTTGCTCCCTCTTCACGTACAATCCTGAGGAAGGGAGGTCTAGATCAAGGTCTACCACCGCTCACAGGCGGGACCCAGCCAGTCGCCTATTTCTGTGGTGATTGTGAGCCAAGATTGGTTTTTAAACCTTTAAGTGGTTGAAAGAAAATAAAAAGAAGACTGTTTCATGACGTAAGAAAACATGATAAAATCAACATTTCGAAGTCAAAAGTAAAGTTTTATTTGAACACAGCCACATGCAATCCTTCATGTATTGGCTAGGCTGCCGTCACAACATAAACAGCAGAATTGCTCTATTGTGGAAAAGGTTGCCAGCACCAGACCTAAAGGGGGAGGGGACTCTGTGGCATGATACAGCCCGTCCTCTCACCCAGAGGACAGGCCAGCGTGAGGCGTCCCCAACATCAAGTGTGTAAACCAGAGACTTCATCTCACATACATTTGTTTGGAGGACATTATACTTTGAATTTAGATTTAAAGTCTTCAGATAAAATAAGTGTCCCATTAAAATAAGGACACGAGTATTAGAACATAAAATATTCTGCTGTGTACCTTCTGAAATGATCTTGCACAGCAACTGTTCTGAACGATGGTGGGCTCTTCCAGGACACCTGGAACCTCCTGAATGGGGAAGAAGGACACAGTTCATTGACCTCGTTGGACATGTCAGTAGGGAACATAATAATAGCTGTTGAGACTCAAAGTAAATACACTCTAAGTTACCAACACAATATGAAATGTAAACTGTGAAAACCATGGGGACTTTTATTAATAGGAACCTTAAAATTAGTCCTTTTCCACAGAAGTCCTCATAGAGCACTCCTGTCACACAGCCATTCAGTTTCTGCATAAACGTATTCCAGGGAAGAGAGTCTACAGCGTGTGAGGCAGTGGGCGTCCCTGTCTGCGGCCGCGTGGCTAGGGCAACTTTCTGTACTTGATCTGCAACCTGCTTCACCCACCCCGCCATCCACTTAGGTCGGGTTTAGAAAGGGTCCTGTGACTCCTTCCTTTCTCCCCCTGCCCCCGGGCATATCCACCTTCCCAGCTATGCTTGGCCTAAGCGAAAAATAAAATGGGTTTGCCCCCTTGAGAAGTGACCTGTGGCCAGGCTAGACAATCCTTATTAGTGGGAGAGAGAGGCTGGGACTAGTACGTTTCTGTGGACATCCGGCAAATACATCAGTCTGCAGGACAGCCATGTGGTCATGCATGCTTGAGTTCACACGAGTGCCTGTTCTCATAGAGTTGTAAGTATACATGTAGCTATAAAGTAGGAAGGTGAGCTGTCTTAAAGGAGATGGGAAGATGTTCTTAATGCAGTTCATAAAGGCTAGTTCCCAAATGGGTCTGTGCAGGAAGGATCAGAGTGACTTTCTAGGCTCCCACGATCCCTACTTGCTACCGGGGACCGCGGTCACTGGTTATGCACACATGCTGCTCTCTACGTTACGGAGCACACTTCCATCAGAGTCTTTTTATGAAGGGGTGGGGGCTTTCTGGTTAAAACATTTTCTTAGTTTCTAGGTCTTTAAAAATGATATGAAGTAAACGATGAAAAGTCAGAGGAACGCCAAGGCATCCTCTCTGTCCCCACATTTTAACCTGTTTGAGTCTCAATGTTGATGTTAGTGTCGTGTAACAATCTTCTCCTGTTCCACAGGCATTTCCTATTCAAAACAGGGACAGGGACCACGCCACTGTTCAGCACCGCGACCCCAGGATACACAATGGCTTCTGGCTCTGTTTATTCACCGCCTACTCGGCCGCTACCTAGAAACACCCTATCAAGAAGCGCTTTCAAATTCAAGAAGTCCTCCAAGTACTGCAGCTGGAAGTGCACGGCCCTGTGCGCCGTGGGGGTCTCCGTGCTCCTGGCTGTGCTCCTGTCCTACTTCATAGGTGAGGGCAAGGGTTTGGGGTTGTCTTGTCTGCGCGGGGGGCCATCGTGCTGTTGTTCTGTGGAGTTTATCTATGCATTTGGTCGAGAAGTCTTTTCTGAGGTTCTGTTTTCTGGGGAAGGGGTTGGTAATAATGCATTTTAATCTCAGGGTGGTTGAAGTAATTTTTAGCATATTTAGATAAATAGAAAAGCAACATTCATATGAAGAATGAGTTATGTTCTTGGACACACAGTATAGTGTACGTTTGTGTTTGGCTTATTACTTGGGAAAACATGGGTAACTCTACACCATTTCATGTACACAAAATAATTCATACACTTCCGGGAAGGAACACAATGCAGGAATCTCCTGTGATGCATAGTCAATAAGGGACTCTGCTACTTGGCAACAGTACGCACCATTAGCTAACTCAGTGATCTAAATGTCAATCTCGTCGCTCAGGACCGTTGTCCTATACCCAGGAACATGCTCCTGAGGACTGTACATCCGTACGACAACGAAGGGCTCATCTACTCGTTCATGCATGTAGGTTTGTCAGCTCTTCTGATGTAACATTGACCGAGGTTTTCACTTCATAGTAACCCAAATGATGGAGCTGCTCGTAAAAGTTGTAAATTTTCCTGTTAACTGCTTTGTAACATGCCTGAGCATCCAAACTATTGGAGATTGCTTTTTGAAATGTCAGAAATGACCACATCAGATTCTGATTGGCTTCTAAGTGTAGGGAAAGGCCTACCCCATCGAAATGCTGGTGGCGTCCCCTGAGCGAGAGCCCAGGCTGTGTGGCTCGTCCAACAAGAACGATGGTCAGTGCTGCAGTCACAGGTTCACGAAGCGATTTGTGATGCCCCGTGAGACTCTGCAACTGGATAATGCCCTCACAGAGCTGTCCACGGGATGGGCTTTTTTGTTGTTGAACATTCCTTATGATCCAATTATTGTGCTAGAACTTAAGGCAATGCAATCCAAGGGGTACCTGGAAAAAATTACTTTTATCATCAAAGATTTATCTCATACTTTTTATTGCTTTAATTAAGCACAAATATACTGAGAATTTTCACTGGTCTTCCCGAGCTTAAATGACCAACACACTTAATGCAGTGATTTTCTTTTCTTTTATATCAGGTAATACCTTTTCTTCATCAGCATTATAAATGTTTTCAAACCAAAGACACCACTCTTACCCTTGAAAAAAGAACAAGGCTCATCTCTTAGGGAAGGCTGTTCCTTCCTATTGAGTGTGCATGGAAGGCAGAGAACACGGAACAGGCCACTTGCCTGTCCAGGGAGATCAGTCTGATAAACCCCAGAGTCCAAGGGGAAGCCGACATCATCATCAGATTGATGAACCTCACAACCTTTAATGAAGCGTCGTCATCCTTAGACTTTTTTCCATTCCCTTAGAGGTCTGCATTTTCTTATATTGACTGTTGATATAAAGTCAAAGCTTTAAGAAATATGCAGAGTAAAAAGCTTGAGGAATTATTTCTATCCCAGAATTTTCTTCCTCACCTTCCAGTAAGGTCATGAGAAGTTATGAAGATGTAGTGTTAATGTGTCTCTTCCCTAACATCAAGTTATCCCAGGATAGCCAAAGTGCATAACTTCTGAAAGGGAGGGAGGAGGGAGAGATGCCGGCTTTGTTGTATGTTTGTTTTTCTATTCTCACAAAAATTTCAGAGAATAAAGAAAAGAAGAAAAAGAAAGTGAAAATTAATTCCCTTAGATCACTATTAACTTTTTGCATCGGTAACCACTGTTAACACTCTGGTGTATACCCTTCCAGATATTTTTCCATACATATATATGCCTAGAGGTCTGTACTTTTAATGCATATGTACCAGGCTTTCTCACTCATCATGCATTAAACATTGTGTGCGTGTAATTTTATTTAGTGGCTATTTTTAATTAAGCAGTTCCCAAAAATGCAGTGACTGTTTTCTTAATGCAAGCTTGTGTTTGTGTGTGCACGGAGATTCAGTTGATCAAATTTTTGATAAGAATAAATTCTTTAAAAGAAAAGTACAGTGCCAAAGGGTAGGCATGTTTTAAATTTGCAAACCATGGCCAAATTAACCTCTAGTTTACACAATTACCAATGCTACTTATTATCAATATTTTTAACCCTTGCCAGTCTCTTAGGCTGAAACATTTTATTGTTGTTTTCATTTATTCCTAGTAGTGCTGAATATCTTTTCATATACTTACTGACCATTTTTATTTCTTTTTACATGTGTGAATAGCCTAGTAGCCCGCATTTTTCTGTTGGGAATATTCTCCTCTTTGTGATTTGCAAGTATTTACTTATTAAGGATATTAATTATTTGCCATATATGTTGTTTTCCAATTTAATATTAACTTTTTTCATAGTTTGTATGCCCTATACCATACAGGATTTTTACATTAATCTCATTTATCAGTTCTTCTTTACAATTTCTGATATTTCATGCTATACCTTTAAAGTCCTTATTTACTGTATTATTTTTTTTAAGTCACATAAGTTTTCTTCTGGTACCTCTGTGGTTTCTTAATGACCATCGAACCATCGTTAGGTCAACATTTTTCTGGACACTCTAACAGATGTTAGAGGTTCGAATGAGCTCTCCAGTCTAGAAACTCATGGTCAAGTGATAAAGACATGTATGCAAACATGCTCCTAACAGCACATGCTTTCATAGGAACACGGTCCATATGAGTGAAATACAGAAGAGAAAGAAAAATGCCTGTCTCAGCCTGGAGATGCTGAACAGAGACTTGACCTAGCAGATTATACTTAAGAGGTGAAGGGAAGTTCAGTTTGCGGGGCTTAATGTCAGAATGGTTAGTGGGAGAGGACCTTCAAAAGAGGTCGTCCAAGGCAAGGAAAGGAACAGACATGAAACGTCTACAGTGATGATGCGGGCTGCTCACTGCGCGCCAGGCACTGTGTTTGAAGCTGTGTGTGAATTACCTCATTTAATTTTCACGACAACCCTATGAGTTGTTACCTCCTTTGAACACATAGGAATCTGTCACTTAGAGAGGCACCTGTCTGAAGTCACATAGCTTGCAAATGAAGAAGCTGGATTGGAAACTATGAGGGCCCCATTCCACTGCACTGCCTCCTGTGAAGTTTTCAAAGAACTGAAAAGTTAAAGCATTTTTGTTTTTAAAAGATTGCTTTAGTAGCATTCCAAACCCTGGAATTTGAAGAAAGAAAGTCCAGACTTGGACTTTTCGAACTTGAATGTGCCTAGGAATCACGGGGAGACCGTGTTAAAATACGTGTTCTGATTCAGCAGGTTTGCTGTGAGAACCGAGGGTCTGCATTTCAGACGGGCTCCCAGACGATGCTGCTGTGGTCCGCAGCCCACAGCGCTCTGGGCCAACGCTCCGGGCCAGCACTGCCAAATGCTGCCCTGGGTGAGGGACGCGGCCTATTTCTGCACTGATTCAGTGGCACTAGACACACACGGCTCTCAAGCACTCGAAATGTGGCCACCGCAACGAAGAAGCTGGAATTTACATTTTGTTACTGTTAATGAATTTAAACTCAGACAGGCGCATGTGGCTAGTGGGAAGTACAGAGAACCTATTAGAAAACGCAGCGAAGTGAGAGATCCTGAGGCCCTGTTGCGATAGAGAAGTGAGCAGAGTTGAGAAGCTCTAGCTGACACGTGATAGGACAGGCATGCCATGATTTGTCGTCTCTCAATTCTTAGAAATCCAATGTCCGCACTTGTACATATGACAAACCTCTTTTCAACAGTCACATTATGATTTTCTTTAGATTGCTCAGCTCCCAACAAAAAGCCTTCTCTAATACATTAACCTGTAAGTGGGTATGTCTTTATACAATGAAAATCTGCTGATTTCTAAACACACACATTACATTTGATGGTAATAGTGATACAGGCCTATCAAAAACATTCCTGTCCCTACTCTTCCTGGGGCCCAACTCATTCTTCTTTTTCCTGTTTAATAATTAGATGATTGAAAATATGGGCAATAGACAGTAGCTGTCCACCAAAGAATAGATTACAAAGAGATGGTCTGCTAGTTCCTGTTGCTTCTTATTCTGTTCATAACTAAGGAATGAGTAGGAGTCTTGATGGTTGTTCTTTACTCACAGAAAGTGGGCAATAACCTGAAATTGTGCTGTTGGATTCATAGAAAAATGCCCAGAAACCTCATCATAAAGCATGAACATGAATGAAACATTAAATACAGAATCAAAATAAATGTTTGCATGACTAGGTAACACCAGTTAAAAACACCAACAAAGTCAGACTTCAAACACCACCATTACGGCCAGGTCGCCTCATTCACGTTTTCCGATAGTACGAGGCAGAGCCTAAACATTCCAGTCATTTCCCACGTTGGGTAGCATGGAGAGTATTTGTACATGTTCCTTAAATTTAAGGGAAACCAGAGAAAACAAAAAATCTTATCAGACTGCAGTAGGCTGGCTTATTTTCTCCATTTTTGGCCTAGTTTATCCCAACCAATTTCTATAATGGCTTTATGGAGAAATAATTCCCATACCCTACAGTTCACCCATTCAAAGTGTACCATTCAATGGTGTTTAATGTGTTCACACAGTGTTGCAATCAATTTTAGAACATTCCCATCACCCCCCAAAGTAGAAATCCTGTTTTCTTTAAGAGTCGCTCCCCGTTTCCCCTTAAACCTTCCCTAGGTTTTTTCCCCCTCACAAAAATCTGATCTCCTTTCTCAGAGACATGAAATAACTCAGCATTGTTTTTCTAGTGAACTCCTGACATATGCTGCTAACCAAAGAAATACTTGCATTTTCAATATTCTGTTTCATTGAAAAAATACATATGTAGTTATTTATTTCCTTTGAACATCTGCTACCAACTGATTCGTAAAATAGATGTTGTGATGTGTCTGCCAAAAAGGCTGTTTAACAACCCGAGTATCCCGTAGATCTAGCAAAACAGAACCTGTCGAGTCCAGGTTCATTGCAGCTATGATTTGGTAGCAGTTATCTGTCCT